GGGAATGTCACCACCACCCAGCACTCTTGAATTCTTTAACACAAACCTAAGGAGTCTTTTGTCCCCCATTCCTTGAGGCTCAGACACCAGGACTCACCTGAGTTTTCTTTTGTTTCATTGGGCTAAAGAGCAGTCTGCCCCTGGGAGGAGACAGGGATGGAGGTTGGTACTGGGCCAAGTTTTCCTTTAAGGGGAATGCATTTTAAAGTTCCATTAATTGAAGGTCCTAGTTAATTAGTTAATTGCAGGAATTAGATTTCATCTTGTTTGTCTTTTCTCTCTAAAATATCCTTAGTGGGTTTTTCATAGCTAGGAATTCTGAAATCCAAGCGTAGGGTAGGGCCTGAGGGCCGAGGGGGCTGACTTAGGGAGAGAAAGTGTCTCCTTTGGGGAGGGGGTTTTGTTTTGCAGCATGGCTCCTGGAGAGTCTCAGCTTAGAGTTCCAGGGTCAGGCTTATGGGGTGCTACCAATCCTAGGGACCCAGCTGCCTAACCATGACCTCACTAACAATAACAATGATGACCATAATAAAACACAAGGCTGGAGAGATGGCTCAGAGGTTAAGAGCATTTGCTACTTTTGCAGAGGACCAGGGTTCAATTCCCAGCACCCACAGTGTAACTCACAACCATCTGTAACCCCAGTTCCAGGGGATCCAACAGACACTTGTGGTACATATGCATGCATGCAGGCAAAACATTGGTACACATAAAGTGAAACAAATTAACAAATAATTAAAAGATAATAAAACAGGCCACCTGCATTTCTCCGGCCTCCGCCACACACCAGCAACAGTGTATTTGATGTCAGTTCCCTCATTCTGTCTTCAGAGCACCCCAAGCGCACGGGTGTTGTTGGTGTTCCCATTTCACAGTGGTGGAAACTGAGGGCCGGGCAGGTTACTCAGCATGGGTAAGGTGATACAGAGGGACAGGCACAGAGGCAGAAGTCAGCCCAAGACTTCTGATTTCAAAGCCTTGGATCTCAGCGCTTGGCTCTCACTACAGGAACCTGCTGTCGTGTTGTGGCAAAAGCATGTGTGTGTGTTTGCAAAGTTCACAAATATTTGGTTTTGCCTCCGCCATTCTCTGAAAACAGAGAAAAATGAGAACGATGATACAGCAACAACAACGTGAGCCTCCCACTCCCCCGGGGGTCAGGCAGATCAGAGAAGGAGAAACCTGTGGGTTCCGTCCCTGGCTTCTGGAGGGAGATGGTACCCAGGGAGGACTTTCCCGAGAACATCGTTGCTGCTTCAAGATTCAATGCGCTCATCGTGAAGTCACACGAGTGTCTCCCACGTACTACCTCGACGACGGTTCTCAGTGTGTCCCCAAGCCTAGCTGGGGCTGGACAAACCCGAAACCTTCCCTCAGCACCCCCAAATGCTTGCCTTTCATCTCTGTAAGGAGAGAGAAGGTACCTTGGTGACAGAGCCCTGTGTGGGCTGCTCAGCTGAGCCGGCTGGGAGTTGGCCCAGAGCCATGGAGTGTGAGAAACTTTCAAATTTCAAAACCGCCCTGGGCCAATTTAATAAACTTCTGCGCCACCTCCATCCTCTCCACAGTTTTGAATTCTCAAATACTCACCCCCCCCCCCAAGATGAGCACAGGAATGGAAGAAGTTTGGAATGTTAATAATGCAGAATTTTACAGCATAGCGGGGTGAATTCTCAAGGGGTAATGGTTAACATCTGCTTTCTCTTTTCCCAAGATAACAATGAAGAAACCAATCCACACAGCAAGCAGGAGTGTGAGAGATGAGCCACCCGTCCCTCCGAAAAGGGGTAAGCTGTCCTCAGATGCAGCACTAGGCACAATAACCAAAACACTTGAGTGTAGGAAGATTGACAGTACAGGGGGGTGGGGGCGGGGCACAGACCAAAGTCAGTTTCTCAGGGGGCACCGTCTGGGCTGTGAACAAGACCCTTTCTTCCAGGGGGTTCTGAAAGATGGCAAGAAACACTCTACTTCCTCCCAGTGGGACAATTCTTAGCAATTGGCATCAGAGCTGTGGTCCTGACATGTCCTCTGGGAACAGCAGGATGCTTTGTGTCAGAAGCGACAAAGCTAGAGCTCCCCTTCTGTTCTAGATACAGGCTCTGGAGTACCCAGGGCTCTGAGCAAGCCCTCTTTGAGGGTTTCTGTACTTCCTTTGTTACAAGTGCCCTCTGTGAGCCCGGAAACCTAAGAACCTAGGTCGAGTTCCAGAAGTGGGGAGCACAATGCTGATCTAGTGGGTAGGGGGGTGCTGAGGATACAAAATAGCTGGAGTGTAGCTGGAGAAATGAATTGATGGTTAAGAGCACCCAAGCTGGGTTCCCTGAAGCCCTGTCTGGCGGCTCACAACCTCCTGTAACTTCAGATCCAGGCTGTCTGACATCCTCTTCTGGCTTCTGCAGGCACACACAGATACATACAAACAAAAAATAAAATTGCAATGTAAAGAAGTAGCTAGAGCCCACACCTGTTTTCTGACATTTGTTTTATCCCTCCCGTCCCCTGTTTTTGAGATGGGTTCTGGCTATGTAGCCTAGGCTGACCTCAAACTCACAATGTAGCACAGGATAGCTTTGAACTCGAGATACCTCTCCTGCTTCAGCCTCCTAAGCTCTGGCATTGCAGTTGGGAGCCACCACCGTCAGCTCATCTGATTTCTCTTGACTTTCTCATTTTGGTGGAGAAAAAGTTCAGTGACTTGGAACAGCTGACTTGGAATATAATTTCTCATCTACCCCTGCCCTCTGGGCTCCCTTGAACAGTCCTGTGGAGATGGTCCAGATACAAATTCTGAAGCAGCACAGACATCCTTTTTCAGGGACTCTCTGGGTCAGTTTTACCAGTTAAAAAAAAATGACCCAGAAGTTATTTTTAAAAATGAAGGGTGCCAAACTTGTGTTTGCGGCTATGTAAGGTTTTTTTTTTTTTTTTTTAAATCACACTCCCTCTTTCTTTCTTTTTGCTGAAGCAAAGACTAAGGCTCCCCCGTGATGCAGTGGTAGCACCCTGAATCTCAGAGAAAGGTGAAGGGATGAATGGCCAAGCTGTCCCGCACAGATGCATTTGGGGATCTTGGAAACCCTGAACCAACGCACAGGCTCCTCTCTCTTGCTTGCATAATGCAATTTAAATCCCTTGTTAATTTCCAGGTCGGGTTTCATTCATGAGGATAATCTTTAATTGATGTTAAATATAGGGATCAAGTGAAGCGCATTATTTCTTTTTTACAAAGTGCTAATTGTTCGTGTTCTCATAAATTATTTTCTCCTCTTGTGTAGCGGGTCTTATGAAAGAACGTTCCAGCCAGTGCTTTTAACCTCATCATCTGAATATTATCCTGTAATCTTCAGGTCGTTTAGATCCTTCCTGTGCACATGAGTCTCACGTCACCCTCCGGAGTGTCGAGAAGAAAGACGAGCCGTGGAACGTGCGTACATATGGGTGGCTCGCAGATGCTAAAAATATTTATATCCAAACATTTTAAACTTTAAGCAGATCTTTTCAGCTGCTTCTGTTCCTGCAAAGACCCTTGAGAGTTTCAGCCCAAAATGACTCTTTTAATTGAATTTAAAAACATTTTTTTTCCCAGAGACAGACTCTCTCACTGTCTGAGGTGGCCCAGGGTGGCCTCAAACTCATAATCTTCCTGCCTCCACCTCCCAACTATTGGCATTACAGGTGTGTAATACCATGGTCAGCTTTTAATTAATTGATTAATTAAATTAATTAATTAGCACTCGTCTATTTATTGATTTTGTGCATGTGCCACAGAACACGCATGTTGATCGGAAGGCAACTTGGGAGTCTGTTCTCTCCTTCTACCACGTGAGTCCGGGGAATCGAACTGAGGTCATCAAGCTGGGGAGTAAGTTTCTTTACCCTCTGAGCCATCTGCTCAGTCCTTTCATTTTCATTTTAATTTTACCGTTTTTGACACTTACAGGGACAGCTCAGTGGCATTGTTTTCACATGGCTGTGCCACCACCACCCTCCCCCTCCAGAGTCTAAAGCCCTCTGCACTTGTTAGTGACAGCCAGTTCCCATCGTGCCCTGTGGGCAGTGCTCTCCTCCCTGACTGTGACGCTGACTGTTCTAGTAAGTTCCTTACAGAAGGAGGCGTGTACAGTATCTGTCTTCTCTTTCTTTCCTTCTTTCTTTGGTTTCTCTCCTTTTCTTTCTGTGCTGGCTGGTCTTCTGTCAACTTGACACACAAACTAGAGGTATCTGAAGGGAGGGAAACTTAATTGAGGAAATGCCTCTGTAAGATCCAGGTGTAAGGCATTTTCTCAATTAGTGACTGATGGGGGAAAGCCCCGCCCATGGTGGGTGGTGCCAACCCTGGGCTGGCGGTCCTGGGTTCTATTAGAAAGCAGGCTGAGAAAGCCAGGGGGAACAAGCCAGCAAGCAGCACCCCTCCATGACCTCTGTGTCAGCTCCCCACTCCAAGTTCCTGCCCTGTTTGAGTTCTTGTCCTGACTTCCTTTGATGATCAACAGTGAGGTGGAAGTGTAAGCCGAATAAACCCTTTCCTCACCAACTTGCTTTTTATCACAGCAATACTAACCTTGACTAATTCAGTTTCTTTCTTTCTTTGACATAGGATCTCGCTATGCAGCCCTGAACTCACTCTGCAGACCAAGCTGGCCTCACACTCACAGAGACCTGCCTGCCTCCGCCTCCTGAGTGCTGGGATTAAAGGTTTGTGCCTGACCTCATTTTTTTTCTTTTTGACAGTGTTCTGTGTAGCCCACACTGGCCTCGGGCTCACTGTGCAGCCAAGGATCTGCTTCTGCTTTTGTCTTTGAGCTAAGTTCAAAACAAAACAAAACAAAACAAACAAATAAAAACATTCTCAGAAGGACAAATACTGGTCAAGCGTCTGTTGTGTGACCTGGACAGATGTGAACAAACATCTGTTTATAAGAGACAGGGCACAGGTCGCTGGCCAAAGAAGCAGTTCTATCTTTGAGAGATTAGCTTTGTAAACCAACACATTTTTGGGGTTACTTACACGAACGTGAGTGGTTCAAAACCTATCCCAGAATGGGAGAGGACCCCCAATGCTGCATCCCCGGAGGAGCTCCCTGCCCAGCCTGTAGGCAGCTCAGTGATGGGTCTCTCTCTCCCTGCCCCGCCCCTGGCAATTGTTTATTTCTTCTCTAGGGAGGACGCGAATCTGGTTAACTCTCTGTGCTTTCTGATCTTGTTTCTGGGAGCTTCCCATGAGCACCTCTCCTCCATCCAGGAGGCAATTCCTCAGCTAGAAGGGAATTACTGCAGAGCAGTCTGTGGTCCCAGGAACTGGGGAGGTTGAGGCAGGAGGACTGCATGAACCCAGGAGTGCCAGACCAGCCTGGGCAACAGAAGGAGACTCCATCTCAAAGAAAGAGAGAGAATAAGAAGGAAGACAGGGGGAGGGAAGAAGGGAGGGAGGGAGGGAGGAAGGAGGAGGAGAAGAGAATGAGAGAGAGAGAGAGAGAGAGAGAGAGAGAGAGAGAGAGAGAGAGAGAGAGAGAGAACAGGGCTCAGCTGACAGAGTGCTTAGGTAGCTTTTGGTTTTTGGTTTGGCTTTTGGTTTTTCGAGAGAAGGTTTCTCTGTGTAACAGTCCTGGCTGTCCTGGAACTCACTTTGTAGACCAGGCTGGCCTTGAACTCCCAGGGATTCACCTGCCTCTGCCTCCCAAGTGCTGGGATTGAAAGCATGAGTTGCCACTGCTCAGGCGATGAGATGGTTTTTTGGAGGAAGTGATGCTGGGCAGGGGCAGAGAGGATCCCGTGGGAAGGGACATCAGGAACAGAGGTCCACATAGGAAGGCAAGAGAAGACCCCAGGGCTGTGGAATGAGCTCAGGCACGTGAACACGTGCACACACACATAGAGTAATTAAAGAAATAAGTAGCTGGGTGTGGTGGTGCACACCTTTAATTCCAGCACTCAGAAGGCAGAGGCAGGCAGATCTCTGTGAGTTTGATGCCTGCCTGGCGATGTATTGTGTTCTGGACCAGTCAGGGCTATACAGTGAGACCCTGCCTCAATAAATAAATAAATGAATGAACAAATAAATAAGGTGTGCAGGAGAGTTCTTATGCAGAGTAAATGGAAGGGTGGAGGACACCTGGCATTTGGAAGCGCAGTTCAATGATGATGACAGTCACTGATAATGACAGTCATTCTGAAGGTGGCTGAAGAGGAGGCCTTGTCCTAAGTAGCAGCTATTCAGGAGTAGGGTGGAGGTCGCAGCAGCAGCTCTTTGGCTGTAGGTTTAGAACCAGAGAGGATGGAAGGCTGTGTCAGGCACTGGCTTCTGATGTGGTCTTTGTGTGGCCCTGGTTCAGTCAGAAAGCTTCCTGCACTAGTGGAGGAAGCCAGGCACCTCTGTTCTTTCATCCCTTCTGTGATTATTTATGAACGGCTTACCATGGCCAAGTTCTTCCTGAAGACCACTGCCTGCCCGAGAATGTCATGGTAGCACTGCCCAGGCCTGCATCCTCTAACTCCTACCCAAGGCACAGCCCCTCACAACCTGTCACAGCTTTCTGGTGTCTGCTTGTGGCAGGATCTATTTTTGACGCAAGAATGCATTTTTTTTTTTCTATTCTCCAAGTCTGCAGCCTGCCCTTCACAATATTCTGCCTCTGGGATTCCTGTGCAGGGCCAAGCAGGCGTGATTGAAGGGATGATGTGGTCACTTCTGTAAGAGTCAAGCTCCTTGAAGAAATGGTACTGCATGTGTTAGTGGGGAGTTTCTTGGAAAGAGAAGGGGTTGGGGAGGATAGACTGGGGGCAGCCTACTAGGTCCCTTCAAAGATTGCAGGGGCTCAGGTTCAGGGCAGATATGACCCCAGAGCACTGGCTGAGTGGCATGGAGGCAACAGAGCTGTCTGCCATGGGAGGGTATGATGATGGGACCGCCATGGATCCATCTTCTTGGGTCCAAGTAGATGACTGATAAGGGATCAGAGTCCTCTTAAGCTTAATGCTGCCCAAGATCCCAAAATCCTGGAGCCACCCTGGTCTAGAGATAAGCCCTGGTGATGATATTAAGTTTCCTATAGTTTAGAGGGATGTGGACCCCTCCCCCACCATATGGACTTAAAGAAAATGAAAGTATTCCTTGGACTTGCGTTTGAAGATTGAGACTTAATATCTGCTATGCTGTCCATGTCAGTAGCCCTGCCCCAGGGGACACTGAGTAGGTGCTGGGGACTGCTTGTTGGATAAGTATGTACACCATCCAGAGAAGTTCAAGGTCACAGGCTGGAGATGGGATGTTTTCAACTGTGCCTGTACCCCTCCCTCCCAGCACCACCCACCCCCAGTGCCCTCCCTTCAGGATCCCATGTATACTCTGCTGGGTTCAAACTATACAGGCATATACAGCCTTGAACGTCTAATCTTCCTAATACCGAGTGCTGGGATTGCAGGCACGCACCAACACACCTGGCTTATGGGGTGCTGGGGGTCAAACCCAGCGGCTTCATGTGTCTTAGACCAGCCCTTTGCCCCCTGAGCAACATCCCAGCCCACTACTGAACTCTTTAAATGCCCTGTATCTGTGCAGGTAATGCCTTAACCCATTCTCTGCTACCTTCTAGCTTATTGCAGTTTAAAATTTTACTTTAAAATTTGCAGTGCCCTGGGATTGAACCTGTGACCATTTGCGTGCTAGGCAAGCACTGTGCTACAGAGCTACAGTTCCAGTCTTGTTTTTGTTTCTTTGAGACAAGGTCTTTCACTCGCTAGCCCAGACTGGCCTCTAATTCACTTTATAGCCCAGACAGACCTTGATTTGTATCCTCTTGCCTCAGTCCTCTCAGTGTTGAGATTGCAGGCACCACCACACTCACACACTCCTTTATGATTACTTATTAATTATTCTGGGATGTATGCGCACGTGTGGAGGTCAGAGGACACCTTTGGGAGTTGGTTCTCTCCTTCCACCCTGCTGAGACCAGGTCTCTTGTTTCTGCCACACTATGTACTCCAGCTCTCAGGCTTCTGGAAGCTTCTTCTGTCTCTACCCCCGTTTCCCTGCAGATGTACTGGGACCACAAGTGCATATCACTTCATGCCACTACATCCATCTTTTTACATGGGTTTTGGGGACCAAATTCAGGCCATCAGGTTTGCATGGTAATTACTCTCTGAGTTATTTCCCTGCCCTCCTTCTAGAAAAAAAAAAAATCAAACAGTTCAATTAGATGTAATTCACATACCATAAATTCATCTGTTGGATGCGTACATTCAGTGGTTTATAGAATACTCACAGTCACATAATTGTAGGCACCGTCTAACTCCAGAACCTTTAAATCACACCCCGGAGAAGCTTGAGACTTGTCTGCAGTTCTTCTCAGTTATCTTTCCCCATTCAGCTTCTCAAGCCTCGTCTACTTCCTGCCTCTGGAATTCCCTCTTCTAGCCATTTTATACAAGTGGAGTAGCACAATACATGGCCTTCTGGGCTTGGCTTCTCTCGCTTGGTAGATTGTCCTGAAAGTTCACTGAATAGCAGGCCCCAGTACTTCATACCCTGGTGAATTCACGCTCCCTGGCAAATAATATTCCATTGTGTGGGCAGCCCATATTTCACTTACCCATCCACCACTGGGTTTTCCATATTTTGGTAATCATGAATTAACACCAATAGGAAATTCAAGTACATTAAAAAAGATTTATTTTTAACTTCTATGTACATCTCTCTCTGTGTATATGTGTACATGCATGTGTGTGCCTAGGGAGGCCAGAAGAGGGCTGTCAGGTCCCCTGGAGCTGGAGTTACCAACAGTTGTGTGTCATCTGGTGTTAGGAATTGAACTCAGTCCTCTGTAGGAGCAACAAGTGCTCTCTAGCCTCCTCACATGCAGGCTTTGTGTTTTTATCTCTTGATTATACAGAGGTGTGGAATGCCTGGGTCCTATGGTGACCCTATGTCTCACTTTTTTGTGGAGTTGCCAAACTCCAGCGGTTGTGGCATTTTACATTCATGCCAGCCATGCACGAGGGCTCTGGTTTATTGGTATTCTGTCTCTCTGGGTGGCTTACAGCCACTCTAGTGAGGTAGTTGGATGCTCATGTTCCTAATATTAATGATACCGAGTGAAAATCTCGTATGTTTATCAGCCATTTGTATGTCTTTTGGAAAATATCTAGTTATACCCCTCCCTAGTCAAATTTTTAACTGATATGTAAAATCACTAAAATTTCACATATTAATAGAGTACTGCCACACAATGTTTTAGTACATGTATCCCTTGTGTCATCTGGTTAAACAAATCGATTCCCTC